TATGTATCAAATTTCGTTTAAATTCTTCCATAAATAAAAAAGTTGGCACTGCGCATGCGCAAAATAAAATTTTGAAACTGGCGTTTGATTTTCCTTTATTCCAAGTGCCTATGTATCAAATTTCATTCAAATACTTTTATAAGTAAAAAAGTTTGCAATTCGGTTTATAAATGGTCGAGATGCGAAAAGGGCACTGTGAATTTTGAATCGATTCGATTCAACTTTTGGCATTGCGTATTATATGGCTAAATCTATGCCCATATTGAATTTCATGCAATTCAGTTCATAACTAACGGAGATGTAAAAGCGATCGAACATTTCTAAACAAAGTTATCGTTCACACGGACAGATAGATGGACAGACAGACAAAGGAACAGACGGAGAGACCAACCGGCAGGCGACAGATAGCAATGCAAAATTATAAACGATCTCTAGGATCGTTAATAAACGGCAAAAGTGTAAAATTATGGAACATGTAAAAAACGGTTTTTTGGTTTTTTTACAATAACTTTTTTAGCAATAAACGCAGAAAAAATTCTTTCCTTGGTGCCTCGACACCATAACGAACCAAATAGCGAAAAAAGTAGAACAATAGCTCTTAAGATAAAGAACTAGTAGCTTCTCAAAACGCGCGGACGGACGGACAAAGTGGCCACAATAGCGCATTTTTTTTGTGGAAATGCGCTAAAATCAATAACAGAAAAAAATATCCATTCATAACCGAAAGTTAACTACATATTATTATGTAATGACACGATTACAACAAACTATAATATAATCAAATTAAATCAAATCAATTACGAACAACTAGCAAAACATCATCTCCTGCAGTTTTTTACGAAGCGATCTCCATAAGCTCCTAGCACTAATTGTCCACTGAATGCATTTGAAATAGGAATTGTTTTATAACGCTTATTTTATCATAAAATATATCCATATCGATCTTTAAGGAATTGTACAGCCTATACATAGTCTGATAAGAAGACAGTTCGTGTGATGGTTGGTATTACATGTCTATGTCTTACTTCTTGAAGCTGGTCTAGGTACATTTAATTGCAACAAAGACAGAAAATATTGAGCATCAATCTGGTTTCTTGACAAGTTTGCTCAAGAAAACTATAGATATGATATTATGACGATTTTGCCACCGATATAAAATTGAAGGCACTGAGTAGACCCGGATGCGTATTGGCATTATGTACTATTATTCAGAGCAGCTCTGGTCTGATTCACAGTATACTTTCACTTTCACGATATGGGCAAATTGATAATGCATTATGTACTGCGATGCAAAGCACCGATATGGTTTAAACTTTACAGTTCTGAAACTTTGTATATAATGGGTTTCTATAAAGCGCGTCGTACACTTACAAGAAGTGTGTTTTTATTGTTACCCTCTTTGTTACCTTTGCAAGAAAAGTATATTTTTTGTTGTTTGTGTGTAATCAAGGTTCTCAAACTGCCCTAAAATGATCTAT